TGTACCATATTCTCTCTTACTTTTTTTCTCTCATTTCACCAACATTAAATCATATTTTTACACCATCTCTCTCTCTCTGTCTCTCTCTCTCATTTCTCTCCCCCCCCCAAAAAAAAAACCAATACTCACACACTTCCCCCTACACTACTATTACTAACACACACTAAGGTATGTAGACCTAACTCTATGGAAAAAAGCAGTCAGCATACATGAAATGAAATAAGAGAGAATACAGTTCCTTAGGGTCAGAGTCAAAACATTCATACTGACGTAGAATTTATAAATGGCCATTCCTGAGTTCTGCATCCTTTCCAACCTAAGGCCTAATGTTCACACACAACTTCACAATGATTTCATGAGCTGATCTGTTAATTCAAACCCCCCCCCCCCCAACCAAATGGACAAATAAATAGTGTTGCCATCATTATATAATTACCACACATCACAGTGTGGATGCTGAAAAGAATGTGTTCAGATCAGGGAAGCTAAGCGTCTATCTCAAAGTCAGTCTGAAGAACTGACACATAGGTAAGCAAGTTGAGGTGTCATGAGCAGGAACAATCAAGACCTGTACAAATCATAGCTAATCAGTGCATCAGCGAATGACATAATCACCAAAAATACATAACGTATGACATACGCTGTACGGTAGCTTGGTCTCCGCCGTGATTTTTTCTGAACAAAGAAGACAAAACCACACTGAATATATTAAATATTCCTCTACCCGTACATCCCTTTAACAAACAAAGCATACCTCCAGTAGCATAATCATAACGGGGCTGACTACCCCAAAGTTTCCAATTCAGGTAAATTCAGGGCCAATTCAGGTATTTTGGCCCAAAATCAGGTAATGCAAAGACAAAGAAGGGGAAAAAAAGATGATTGTTGCCACGGTATACGTAGTTACCATTGAACGGGGCTTGTTTTTCCAGATATTGGGCAATTACATTTTGAAAACTTGTTTGTGGATGCACATTTGTGAGTGTGTGTGTGTGTGGGGGCACACATGGTCTTGCGTATGTTTATGTACGTGGGGGGGGGGGAGGGGGGTGTTTGGGTGTGCATAAGTTATGGTGAACAGTGGACATGAAATGAGGCGAATTTATATTTTGTTCATGTTTTTTAACCCTATCCATACACCCTGGGGTCATATTATACCCCCGGGGTTGTATTCTTCACATTTTAGAATACTTGTAGTACGAAGATTTCTTTGAAACTTCCAGCATTCCTCAAAAAATCATTTTGACAGATTGCTAAGCAAAGCGTGCCAATCGGATTAACGAGCAAATTTCTTTTTTGGAAAGTGGTGGCACAGAGTTCCCCACGTCGTATGGATACGATAGTAAAACCCGAGGTACTGTTAATGTTAAGCATTTATGGACTATCATGCAAGGCACCTATCATTCAGTATAGAATATAATGGAATTGAGTGCAGGGTGACTGCCAAACTGACTTCAAAACCCCCTGGCCAATACCAATAGAAAGTATTATATTGAAACATATTTTCCAACATGAGCATTGGGCACTGATTAGTCCTGTGTGGCTTAGGCATGACAGACAATTGTAACTAGATTTGCTCTAAACATACAAAATGAATCCTGATCTGGGCCTGTGGAGAGGCAAGAAGAACATCAACTGCCAAAACCGAGTTTGGGTTTCAGCAACCACAGATTTTTAAAAGCCTGAAAGACAAGCCTTATTTAAAGAAAACCTTTATAGTTAGGCTCACAGTAGGTCAAAAAGTGACATATATGTACTGAGAGCCGGAGCTGGAAGGACTGTGAGAGTGTGGGATGTAGTTACGCTGAAAACCTGGCAATCATTGCATCATGGACTAAGTTTTGAATTTTTTTCAAAATGCTAAATCATAGAACCACTTTTACTTTTAGTAACTTTCAGTCAGTAACAAGCCATCATGATGTACAGGGATTAGTTTTCAGATCTTATCCTCCAGGTAGTTCAAATACATATCTAAAAAATGTTTTTTCTTTTTCTCCTCCAGCACAGGCCTCCAGCAAGGTCCATTTGCGGTGTTGGGGGGCGAAGCCCCGAGGAAAAATTGACCTTTAAAGTTTTCCAAGGGCTGAAAATGGCATTTCTTCATTGCTCCTATTCTATTTGTCATCACACCATTGACCAATCCGGGAACGATACAACAACCAAGCAAGTACTCTAAATTTCTTTCATTTACAGGTTCTATAGGTCGAATGTCAAAACCTAAGAGCACCACTTCCACTTACATGTATAGTTTTCCTTTTACTAAAATTTAAGCATCAGCTTCTTGCACCGCAGCCGTATCCTGCTGCCGTAGAATGTATTGCATTAAGCACCGCCCCCCCCCCCCCCACCACACCAATTTTGAAGCCCTGCAACGTTCCTACTTTGTTTGTATTAACTTTGATGACCCCAACAATCGCCGGTCCCTTAATCATGACGTCCTCACACGTTGCGAAAGCGCGCAAGTTCACTGACCGGTCACGATGATGGGCCCAACAATCTAGAAATCAGAGGACGCTTGTTTTCTTTTCCTTTCTTCTTTTTTTTCTTCATTATAGATCAAGTGCCAGCACAGTGAGAACATTGATTTTATTTGTATGGCGACACTGTGTTTCTACAGCACAGAACTGCATGTAATAATTGTAGATCTAACGTTAACAAACTATCATCGGACAATGCTGGGTGGTAACGAAAGCGAAAGTAGATTTCGATTTTCCCGATGGAGCCTCGGTATAACACCTACAATTTCGTCGGGCGCCATAGCCGCTTTTATTCGTGTGAAATGTTTTCATGGACCGGGGAGAGCCGCACGTAATATCACAAACGCGCCAGGTAAAATATGAGCCAAGTTGCCTTTTCAGATTTTGTTTTGAGGACTGCGCATTTTCCTGGGCCAATTCTCGTGTCACGGAGACTTTTTTCAGATTCCCAGCTGGCAGGATCTTATACAACTTGCTGCCGAAACTTACCGTATAGACAGAGAAGTTACGGAAGCAAGAGCTGATCCTTTGCTACGGAATGCTAATAACCTAATCGTAATGCTCTCTCTCTCTCTCACACACATGAAGTTGATATGATGATGCGGCCTTTCGGAATGTAAGGATTTCTGTAAAAGCGGGCAAGATTGGAAGCACTGTAGACCTGGCTATTTTTTCTGCTTTCGGCACCTATCGCAAATCCGGTAGTTTTGGCACCTTTATCGGTATGGAGATAAAACAGGCCCAAAATTGGAAACTACGGAAAAATCGGTAGATTTAGGCAGCCCTATAATAATACTATACTTTCTGGGGAAAAATAGCAGCTGCAGTTTCTATGGCTTGCAACACATGGTGCATGGAACGACAAGATAGTTCCACACATTACTGTTTGCATACCCATACTAAATACTCATATATTATAATTTACTTCATACTCTAATGAACTGCTTCAGTAGCACACTGGCAAAGTTAAGAATTTCACACTTCTGTCTCACTTTCACAAAGACTGAGGGAAGCTGATGTCTCAAGAGGATCAGGGAGAGACAGAAACCTGCTTAGAAAAGCTACAAGAATATCCAACCAGCTGATGACTTGCACGATCAGCAAGCCAACCGTTTCTTGGATCTTGGAAAAGAAAGACAAGCAGCAATGGCATTGCACCACCTGAAATGACACATATTCTCCAACTAAATAACCAAGTAAGTAGCTTTCAGAGCAGTAAAGAGACCTCAGCTATCATTAGTCATGTAAACAATTAGGTCTTGTTAGACACAGAATTAATTACTGCGAGTTTGCAGGACTTGCTCAGGGCAATTCTCCGAGAGACAAGGAGCCCAGAAACAATTTAAAGACTCTGGTCTGATCCTAACTCAGATTTTGAGTAGGTCAGTCAAGTTTATGGGCAATTGTAATACAGCTGCTGTCAAAAAGTCACCTGTATTATTTTCTTTCCACTAATGCAGATCTAATCACAATGTTAGAAGTTATTAGAAGACAAAGACAACTGGACTACGGAATTGTGTGCACAATTTTTCTTCAGAATATTGAAGTACAATCATTGACAAGAACAAAAACATCAGCTTTCCCAAAGTATTTCTTCGTGCTAAAGGGTAAGTTTAAGATCAGAACTAATTTTGCAAGAACCTTTTCTGTCATCTGCTGTAAACTAAACAGGACATGACAGGCACAGTCGTCACCTACATCATTTGTACAATAACAAGTACATGTTTTTCACCATTGTCAAGCTGATAAAAATGGTGATAACAAGATACAGTCGAACCTGCCCTGACGGCCACCTCTATAAGACGGCCACCTGTACAAACGGCCACTTTCCATTTCCCCCCTTGCGTTTTTTCTATATAATTTAACTGTGTAAAACGGGCACCTGTCCAACGCGGCCGCGGCCACCTTATTTGAACACACAACCCCTATCACACTAAGCAATAACACCTGTCTTAGACGGCCACCTTAGTGACTCCATTACGTTTTGTTATAAATTGTGCATTGGCCCCTAGAGTTGTGGGCGAGCCGTCATAATTCAATCACCTGTCGTTGTTGTTAGGTAGTCCCTCCAACTGATCATTTCGCGTTGGCCCCTCCCACTGTTGACCAATAGGTACCAATTTTCAGCTGCTGGTGAGGTAAGCATGTGATCCCTCATAACCCATAAGCCCCGCCCAGAACTCATACACAAATCATACGTGAGATTAGTGGTCACTGTTTACCCAGTCTGTAACAAAGTAACTATGGACGTCAACATGAACTTGTGATAGAAGCGTCACTCGTTCTCCGAGAGGTGGCGACCCATGTGTTTGTTTCAACATGGCACTCGGTCTTCCTTGTCTGATACATTTCGTATTATTGTCACTCTTGCACAAAATCAGCAACAAAATTTAAAATAACAAACGAAATCCAAACCAACAACAACAAAAACGACAAAAACAAGAAAAATGCGGCTACTTTCGATTAGGACTTCAGATGGGAATGGTTTGTTTTCTTCATCTTGATCAGCCCTGCCTAAGACGGCCACCTGTCTTATACGGCCACTTTTCTCCTTGACAATGGGTGGCCGTCTTACACAGGTTTGACTGTAATTCACAGCAAAGTCATCATGTTCAAACTTTTAAGTCTCAGTACAAGGCGTAGAACGACTTATTGGAAGTGTCCCAAAGTAAACTGTAAAATGAAAAAGAATCTTTCCCACAGCATAAAGCCTTAGCGCAATGTAGAAGAGAATTAGTAGCCTCAAAGAATACTAATGACCGATGTGGCCGTCTCATTGTCCTGCTGCGTGAGGACTTGAATCTGAATTGTGGCAGGGACCTCGGCCTCCACCTGTGTCTGGACTGCTGCTGTGTTGCTCGACACGTTGTTGGATGCCTTGGCGGCCTGCGTGGAGTGACGCTTCTGGTGCGAGTTGCGGTCACCCTGCTGTCGAAACCTCTGGCCACAGATCTGGCAAGGATATGGCTTCTCGCCCGTGTGGATGCGGTAGTGACACCTTAAGTTGTACGGGCGAAGAAATCGCTGGGGACAGAGGTCACACTTGTAAGGCCGCTCACCTGCGTGGCTCCGCTTGTGCATGAGGAACGATCCCCGGTAGACAAAAGACTTGTTGCAAATTTCGCAGGTGTGGAGATTTTCACCTGTGTGGTATTTGATGTGACTGGCCAGTATTTTCTGGCTGCAGAAAACCTTATGGCAATACTCACATGTCACTCTTACTTTTAGCTTTTCTTTCACCTTTGTCTCCCTGTGCTTCCGTTTATGAAAAGACAAAGTACCCGGATAGCAAAAAGCTTTGTGGCAAATTTCGCACTTATAGGATTTCTCCCCGGTATGCTTACCAACATGACACTGAAGCTTGTCTCTGAAGTCAAAAACTTTTCCACAATACTGGCATGGGAAACTTCCTTTCTCTCTTGTTTTCCTCACTCTCTGTTTCACCGTTCCCTCCTTATCTTTGTTCTTGACATGAGTCACGAAGTGATGTCTCTTGAGACTGAAGATGTGAGAGTAGGCAGAGCCGCACACCTCACAGATAAACGGCTTGTCGACCACGTGGCCCTGCTCAGCCTGGTGGGTCTTCAACAGTTTCAGGGAGGAGAATTTCTCTTTGCAAACTCGGCATGTGTATATGTCGCCACCTGTATGGCGTAACATGTGGTTCTGCAACCGCTTCATTGAGGGAACCATTTTGCCACAGACATTGCAAACAAGCTTTTTCCTTCCCGATTTTTTAGCAGGCTGGGCTTCAGGATCTTTCGGCTTGTGCAGTTTCTTGTGAACTCTGAGCGCATCAGAAGTGGAAAAGTCTTTATGGCAAATATCGTCCTTCAATAAGTTCTTTTTGTGGCGGAGAACATGGATCTTCAGGGAATAGAGTGACTTGAACACCTCCCCACAGATTTCACACATGTTGGACTTAGGTCTGGTGGACGAGGGCGACTTGAGCACCAATCTCTTGTCCTTGTACACGCTTTTGATGCTGCTGTGCTCCGAGTGTCGATGCGCACACAACTGTTTCTTACGCATGAATCCTACATTACACAGAGTACACACGAAGCTGAACTCACTACCTTTCACATCGCTGTGGCTATATGGCACAGGCCCGTTTGATTTGGCCTGCCCGTCCGGCGGGGATCCCTCTTGCTCACCCGCAAGGTCTTCACCTGCCGAGGTCTGTTCCATGACGCACAGGCCGGTCCCGTTGGTGTTGGGCATGATGGCCCCATGAATCAACACCTGGCCTCGATGTATGTCGTAGTACAGGTGCTCAGACAGGTGAATTTTCAGGGCCGCGGGTTTCACAAACATCTCCCCGCACACTGGGCACTTCTTTGGCGTATTGTCTTTGCTGTCACTTCTCTTCTGACCACCCTCCCTTGGCAGCCTGTTCTTCAGCAAACTTCGCTGAAACTTACCAACCGGTCTTTTCTTCCCAACAATAATCCCTGACTTTGACGGCGTACCTGTCTGTTTCACAGCGCGTGGAAGTTCTACTACCGGCACGTTCTCCTGCCCAGTTTGCCACGGCGTTATCACTCTCCTGTCGGACAACACAGTGATCTCCATCGCTCCAAGATCTGCGTCTGCTGCAAAACCCTCTGCCCAGTTATTCACACCCTTCAGCACTCTCGACATACTCGCTCCTTCATTCTTCTCCGCAAAACCGGGAGTGGCCAGTTTCCTCTGAGACATTGAAGCAGCCCTTCTCCTCTGAGAGCTGGGCTGGGCCATCTGATGAATCCACCGATGAAGCTTGAGCTGTAGCTGGCCCACGAAGGCAGCGCCGCAGATCCTGCAGTGATGACGCACAAGACCCTGGCTGGTCCCTGGAGGTCTCCGTGCAGAGTCCAGAGTGAGGCGGGCAGACAATCCTTTATCTGTGCCAAATGTCATCAAATCTGCGTCTAGAGGAAGAAAAAGCAAAATAAACCTGTAATGTAGTACCAATGCCAACATGGCATATTGGACCCTCACTTGGAAATGCTATGTAAACAGGTACAGTCAAACCTCTTTTTCCTGCCCCCTGTTGTTCCGCCAGCCCCGCTTACTGCCAGGTTTTACCGAAGTACGAAAAGGAACACCTATATAAACATTGTACTTGCGTTTTAACACTATCATCTGCCAGCTGTCAGAGTTGTACAGAACAGTCCGTATCAAACTTAGGTAAATTAGCCCTGTTGTACCGCCAGTGAATTGACCGCCAGATACACATTACACACATGCACAGCACTCACTTTGTGGCTGTTTGATATTCTCTTTCCCGCATTAACCTCCGATTTGCTCCTGATTTGGGCTGGATTGTGAAAAAGCTATTATTATAAAAATCCTGCCAAAATTTAAAAAATTTAAACGAAATTTCAAAGTCGCCAGGAGAAACTTCAAAGGAACTGCCCCCTCCTCCACTTGTCTGCAAAATATCTGACTTCGTCAGAAATTAACCTGATTGCCAAAAGGGTTCATGAGGCTTTTATATTGTCAGGACTCGCCATACTCATGGCTGCCACTCAGGAATTTCAAAAAAGGAGGAAATTCACTCGAAGGCATAAGCGCGCTCTCCAAAATCCGGAGTAAAATGAGTGAGATCCAGAGGCAATACATTGGAACATCTATGTTTTTGAAAGGGAAAGTGTCATATTTGTTAACCATACTGAATTAAAACATATTTGAAAAAATAAAAACAACCTAAGACATTAAGTTGACAGTTTGGTGACTAAAAATCTATTGTTTGTTGCCAGCTAGTGTCTCATAAAAATATTTCTTTCACTTTAGACTTGTGCAACCATGTAGAGCAATATTAAAGGAGGAAACACCTTTGTCACTGTACTACAAGATTTCTTTATCGCACCAAACATAAAGTGCAGCACCCAGCTTGTTCAATTTTCTAATGAACTTTTGAAGTCGCACACCGTCTGCTTCTTTTATTTTTGCATTCTGCATCAGTTTCTCTAGAATTTCCGCCGTTTTCCATGACAACTCGGCGCACCATCGTCCATATGCTCGATCGACACTGTCGCTCTATAATAAACAATGTGAAACTAGCGCTGGGCACAGTGCGAAAGTAGGAAGCTATGGGCGGACATGCGTAAGCCGCGTTTTCATCTCACTCCCGGGTTCGGTGTTTTCCGCGCGCAAAAAAGGTATCACAATTTGCGACCGACAGCCGTCCAGCGGGGGAAGGAGGAAAGTAGCGGGACAAGCTAGATGAAGTGGAGTTTCCGCTATTTAGCAGAAAAGTGGCAGCTATGAATACTATGAGAAAGGTTTGAGGCGGCCCAAGGACTGGTGAGAATCGGGTTTTAAAAATGTACGGCTTCAGGGTCCTTGACATATTATAATCTAGCCTTTTGATTCGGCAGAAATTTTCAATTTAAATTACGTAAAGCTCAGCTAGCTGTGTATTTAGTTTTAGTAGAGGTTTTATGGCGCCTGCAACTGCATAAGGTCATATGAGCGCCAGAAGATTAGAGGTGTTACAAAAGAGTAACAAATATAAAAAAAGAAGAAGGGGAGATAAGGACGATAAATGTTTGATAGGAAAGAAGAAGGAGAAGAAGAAGAAGAAGAAGAAGAAGAAGAAGAAGAAGAAGAAGAAGAAGAAGCAAACCACACCAGACACCCGCCAACCACCCATACTCGTTGGCAATCGCACATGTCAGAACAAGAGGAGCCAAGACTGGCCACCATGTGTGTGTAGTCTCTACCACTAGTCTAGATGTTACTCAATGCTATCTCAAGTATCGCCAGCCCCGCTGTACTGCAAACTTCACTCTCATCCCAAGGCAGGCGATACAACGAGGTGTGACTGAACACGCATAGTTCAGCATTTCACAGCATGAGATGTGGGGAATAAAAACATGTCATTCATGATGGAACTTAGAAGTTGTCTTGATTTGTGTATACATCTGTTAGGCTAGCACGCCTCCACTGAGTCTTACATAATCATTATTCTAAAACATGATATTTCCCATCTCGCAGTTTCACTGAGGGTAGCATCTGCCCTGATACAAAACAGCTACACATACACACACACACAAACCAAGTAAACTAGAAAGGGTTGACTTTTTGCACACACAAAAAAGGGAAATCTTAGAAACACACAGTCAATAACTTCAGTCAACCTTTTGTGCGTCTTGTAAAAGTTTTAAGGCACTTGCAACACAAACAGGTCATATAAGTGCCCAAGATTAGAGGTGTTAGGAGAGGGTAACATACAAATAAAAGAAGGAGGAGAGATAAGGACGATAGATGTTTGATAGGAAAGAAGGAGCAAACCACACCAGAGCACCTGACAACATACCACAACCTCAACTTTCTACAAGTCTTCTGAATCTGAACTCAAGCAGTGGTAACACTGAAAAGAAATAAGACCACACCAGAGCACCTACTCACAAACCGTCTCAAAATGATATTTTACTCACCTTCCATTGGCAAAATGTAAACAGGATCAGTCTGTACGCCAACTGAGGATAACAAAAAGATACATAAGAATATGTCTGAGAATGAGAGACACTGCTAACAGAATGCATCTCATCAAGTGACTTTACATTAAGCCTCACACCCTTATAACTTATCACAGAACCCATCAAATTTAAATGGCATTATATTACCAGTATCAATCGCTGCTAATGTCAGCATCATATATTTTGCTATTTTTGTCAAGGTAAGCAATTTTACAAAAACAAAATACAGTCAAATCTGTGTAAAGCAGACACCCATCGTCAAGCAGAAAAGTGACCGTATAACACAGCTGGCCGTCATAGGCAGGACTGATCAAAATGAAGAAAGCAAACTATTCTCTTCTGAGGTCCAAACCGGGGCAGATCTCAGGATTTTGACTGCCGTAAGGCTAATTCAAAAGGGATTTTGTCTTCTTTTGATAAAAGAGGGTGGGAGGAGTAAGACAGGTTTTTTTGTGTTGTTGTTTTGTTGTTTTGGGGTTGTTTTTTTTCGTTTTTATTTTTTTTAGGTTAGCTTTCTTTTTGTTGCTGATTTGATGTAAGGGTAAAATAAACGAAATATTATGTAAGTAAAACCATGACAATAGAGTGCCACGGTAAAACAAACACACGGGTCGCCACCACTCTGAGAACGAGGGAGGCTTCTGTCATAAGTTCACATCAATGTCCCTTGTTACTTTAATATAGATTAGGTAAACAAAACAGTGACCAGTCACCTCACACACAATTTGTGCATGAGTGGTGGGCGGGGCTTATAGGTTATGACGGATCACGCTTCCCTCACTAGCAGTTGAACATTTATCGTTAGGCCTACCCATTGGTCAATTTGGATAAACATTCATTGGAGGGACTAACAATAATGACAGGTGAATGAATTATGACGGCCCGTCCACAGCGTGAGGTGCCGATTCAAAATTTATGACAAAGTGTCAGGCAATGAGTGACAACGCCTGGCCGTCTGAAACAGGTAAATTGGACTTTGGGAAAATAAAGTGGCCACGGGCACGTTGGACAGGTGACCATTTTACACACGTAAACTATATGGAAAAAAAGCAAGGGGGAAATGGAAAGTGGCCGTATTATACAGATGGCCTTCATGACAGGTTCGACCCCATACAGTACTACACTCCACACTTGTACTCAAAGAAAAAATAGGTATACAAAAAACCCCAAGGTAATGACGTATATTTTATACATTCTAAGTACATCTTTTTTTAAAGCACTCTGAAAAAAATAGGAGGATAATCGCTGGAATCAATGGGGGAGGATGAGAAGACAAGGCAGAGACAGAAATGGGTAGAAAGATGAAAAATAGAGTGAAAAAAAGAAATTTTTTTCAAAGTGTAAGATAACAAGATAGAAACTGATACAAAAACAACAACAACCAAACAACCAAAAACTACACCTTTTCCCGATCAAATATCAAAATAGAGAGGTCAAATGCAGCATTGAAAGCTCAAATATCAAAATAGTCCAATTAATTCAACATAGAGAGTTCAAATTAAACACAATGGAAAACGTAAGCAAATGTCAGCTTATATAATCACAGGAGAGCTCAAATGAAACATTAGGGAAATCAAATTCGTCATTGTCAGTTCAAATGCAGCATAGGAAAGTTCAAATTCAACAATACGTAAAACTACGATGCTATGATGTAACCATCGTCTTCCAGTCAGGGGAAGCTACCCTGCTCTTAGCAACGCTCGTTGTTTACTGTTCACGTCTCTCCCATTCAATACTCACCGTCTACACTTTTCCCCGATCATATATCAAATAGCGAGTTCAAATGTAGCTATGAAATTTCAAATCTGGCTCTTTGCTACATTAGTTGTTTACTGTTCTCGTCTCTCTCCGTCGGCTGTATAGATCTAGACCTAGATTCTAGATGTAACTGTCCACATCATCTTGTTTTGTTAGATCTAACACTTCAACCGTTGTAACGTAACAGATCTTACCAGGAAGACACAGCAACATATTAAGCATGCCTGACAAAAAATTAAATAATACAAAGGGGGCTCTCGTGGCCTAGAGGTTAAGGTATTTGCATCTCATTCAAAGGTCCCGGGTTCGAATCCGGGCAGCGACCGAAAAATTTTCTTCTCTAATAAAATTGTCTCCTTTCACCTTCTTTCCTTCTCTGTAGCAATATTCTGTCGTCTGCTTTCGTCTCCTCTTTCTGCCTCCACTCCCTCTACTCCTTTACCCCCTCCACTGGGCTCCTGACTCTTTCTGCGGCCTTTCTACTGCTACTCCTTAGCTCCTTCTTACTGTTGTCTTTCAGCCATACTCCTGACCTTCTGGTAGGAAAGATCTACACCTAGCCTTCTCAGACAAGGGAGAAAATTCTCGCAGGTCCTGTGTGCAAGTTGCACACGTTAAAGATCCCTTGGTGGTCTAAAATCGACAAGAGTAGGCTTCGGCCACAATCTGCAAAAAATTCAAAATTTCCTACCAATTGAAAATGTTTGGCGTGTCCCGCGCGCTTATGTGACCTTATGCAGTTGCGAGCGCTGTAAAACACTTATCCAAAAAAATAATAAAATAATACACAAGAGTCAGTCCCAAGGATTAACGGAGAATACGAGAAGCCTTTCAGCAAGGAGACGATTACATAATGCTCGCCAAATAGTTGCAAATCAACCGAAATACTGTATACAGTACCGTACGCTGAACAATCGAAACTGACGACTTGTTTGAAAGATATTTGGGAAAGTAACCACAGAAATAACAGATGAGTTGGTTTCAATAGCCGAAAGCCACCAAGATTACACTTTCAACAAAATAAAAACAGATCTTCGAATCGCTCTGCTGTACACATACACATCTCGTATTTATTGCTTTTGGGGGGAGGGAGGGGAGAGTAGAGAGAGAGAGAGAGAGAGGGAGAGGGAGAGAGAGAGAGGGGGGGGGGTGGGAGGGTTGTGGGCGGGTGTGCTCAAGACCATGTCAAAAAACAACCTATTGTGTTTAAAATATGTGTGTTGAATTCAAACTGACAAAATGTTGAATTTGAACAGACAAGGTTGAATTTGAACCAACCATTGTTACAATTAATTGATAGCGCTATTTTGATAGTTGAGCTTCCTAGTGTTACATTTGCACTCTCTATTTTGATGTTTGAACATTCTATGTTGAATTTGATTTGACTATGTTGAATAAATTTTGCTATGCTTCATTTGAACGCTCTATTTTTATATTTGATCGGGAACTCTAAAACTACACTGTAAGAGGCCAACTTCTAGATAATATCCGTGCCATTTACGAGAACAGCATAAGTACAGTAACAACGTCGGAGAGGCTCACAGAATGGTTTGAGGTCACCCAGAGTAAGACACGGTTGTGTCCTATCACCACTACTATTTATCATATATATATATATATATATATAGAATTACAAAAGAGGCCAACACAGAACCAGACGCCCTAAATTAATTACTCTTCGCTGATGACCAGAGCCTGGCACACAAAGATGAATGAAGTCTCCAACACCACACCACCGGATTAAACAAAGAATGTAACAACTATGACAAGAAGATCAACATAAAAAACCCAGCGACAATGAAAGTAAGCAGAAAGCCAGAACCACTCAAGATACACATCAACAACAACAGTCTCAGATAGGTCTAAGAATTTAAGTACCTCGGAAGTATATTCACAGAGGATGGACGACTGAACAGAGAAATTGAAACACGAGTACAAAAGGCCAATAATGTTAGTTACCAGCTTACTCCACTACTGAAGCATCCTAACATTCCCAAGACAACAAAACTCAAAATGATCAACACCATATTCATTCTAACACTCACCTACCAATGCCAAACATGGACCACGAATAAGACATTAGAGCAAAGAATTATAACATGTGAAAAGCGATGCCTTAGAAAAACAGTAAACAAGACCAGGCGAGACAAAATTAGAAACACAGTAATCAGAGAAATGGTGGGCACAAATGATGTCATGCATCACATCCAACACCAAAGAATCAAATGGTCCGGCATCTCATGCGATTATTAACACATCATCCAGCACAACGTGCCTACATAAAAAAATTTGAGGGCAACAAGGCTAGAGGGCGACCAAGAAAGATAGATAAAGACCTGGATAGATAGAGTCAGGGAAACATTAACAACTCATAGCATCCCCCTGACCAAAGCTCTCCGGCTGGTGGCAGAGAGACGTCTCTTTCTTCCTGCGACACCCAAAAGGGTATAAGCGGCAGATAAAATGGAAAATGGAAAAATGGATCGCGAAAAGGTGTAAAAGGCACTTAGACACAACAGAAAAACTCCCCTGAGCAGTTGTTTTTGCTCTGCTCTGCCCTTACCAGTACAGACAGAAGTCTCAGCTGCCCTATGAACTTCTTCCACGCTGACCGCAGCCTCTGAAAAAATCTGGGAGATGTCTATCTTGCGCATGGTCTTGCGGCCACTTCGACATCCACTACCTTTGTTCAAGGGCGACACCGGTGTATCATGATTGACAACCATCTGGGAATAGAAGACGAGATGCTTTGCTCAGTTGTTCATCAGCTTTAAAAAAAACAAACAACTAGATTGACATTAATGGAAATGGTCACTTAGCGTTGAGAAGACATAAGAATGGTGCGCGTTCGACCTGAAGCGGTTTTTCTGGAGATTTTTTGCTTTGACTTTCCATACACCCAAACTGACGGAACTTTTTTACCCATAACATCAAAGAAGGCCTTGATGGCACTTTAACATTCTTCCCATACCTTGTGCGGAACTTACGAAATGTCAGGAATGGTGATTTTGAGGAGAGGTAATGTTCAATACAAAATGTTCTCTGCTGCTCCTTATTAAACTGAACCGTGATTTGGATAAACAAAAGGAACTTGAAAAAAAATTTCTGCAAACTTCCCGTGGCTTGTTAGACTGCTGTAGCTGGCAATATGACGCAATTGTTACGACATTTTGTGGTAATGCGTACTGGTGCGTAGTGTAATAAAAGAGGACAAAAGCAAAAAATGGGTTGTTTTTTTAATGCGCATTATACTGCAGAATTATTTAGTGGAATCATCTAAAATGAATATCAGTCAAATTCCTTCTGAATGAGGAATATTGTGTTCAAATTTGAAGACGAAAGCTTTGTGTGGAAGAAAATATTTACGAAAAAAGTTGTAAAGTTTTTTTTGGATCACGATGTAAATTGCAGATGAGTGGTCACTGTTTACCCAGTCTGTAACAAAGTTACAATGGAAGTCAACATGAACTTGTGACAGAAGCGTCGCTTGTCCTCCGAGTGGTGGCGACCTATGTATTTGTTTTACCATGGCTACCTTTGTTTGGGACCTCAGAAGGGAACGGTTTGTTTTCTTCACTTGGATCAGTCGAGCATAAGACGGCCACCTGTCTTATACGGCCACTTTTCTCCTTGACAATGGGTGGTCGTCTTACACAGGTTCAACTGTATACTGCCCAAGTTTGCCCTTCCAGTAACATGCATTCCACCACATTTTGATTTACCAATGAAATTCAGTCTTTTAAAAAAAATTGTAGGCCCTATTCATTGTTAACAAAGTAAGGCAAAGGTGGAAGGGCTTCATTTCTATTTTTATTTATGCATTGTGAATATTGAAAACAGAATAATTTTAAACGAACAAAGCTTTCCTTAAAAACAAATTTTTTTTACCTGTGGACATGTTTTAGGTTGAGAAATTTCCTCGGATGTTGCTGAAGAGCTTGAACTTTTTGTTAACACAGTAGTCTTTTTTCTTGGAGCTAGTCTGTTTCCTCTTTTGGGCACATTGAAATTCAACAGCGTTCGTATAGCTGGATAGTTGCCACGCTTCGTCTGATTTTTCCTCGGACTGGCAAACTCCGAGTTCTGAAAATGTTCAGAGCAGAGAACATGACTGAGACTCTCTGGTTATATGCATAGCCAAACCTTTCTTCCGCAGTTTACCACCCATTTATGGCACCACAGAACCCTTAACATCACAAGATGAGACAGTCAGAGAAATGGAGAGGTAAGAGCAGCTATTGGGACTCCGTCATGCCTTACATTTTATAGAAAAAGAGAGACTAAAATGATTCGGCTACCTTTTACGAATGCGGCCTAGCCAGCCAGCCATGAGAGCCTATAACACCAGGCATTCAGGCTAAAAAGAAAGAGGAAAGCCATGTTTAAGGTGGATTGAAGGAGTCAACGAAACCCTGAGAAATTATAATCCCAATTGAAAGAGCTGCGGAGCTGGCCTGCCATAGAAAACTGCATCTCCCCTCGACGCTTAACAAGAAAGTATGGCACCTCACCATATGCTTAGAAAACTGAAAAAATGAAAGGCCCAGTCTTTTATTATCATATCATTCCTTTTGAACAATTCACGGCACAGTATGAGTAATACTGGCTTTTTTTCTCTCCTTTATGTGGAAAATAGACTACAGTTTCGTTTGCACCAGTCTTGACTTTGACCAGAGAATTTACAGAAGAGGCACTTGTGATGTCACTCCATTACAACAGTGCATTGTTTCGCGTATCGCCTGGCCATAGACGTGAATACCAAAAAGCGCAGTTACTGCTGCCATGGCGACGCTGTCATGCCATGAGAAAATTTAGAGCCATTTGTAGTTAGTTTACTAGGTTACTAGACCTTCAACAAAGAAGGGGACCCATGAATTCTATTGTATATTTTAGGCTACTCCCCTGCCTCCTTCAGCCTTAAGAGTTGTTTTTGAACTAAGTTACTGTACATTCTAATAAATGAATAGACGCACATACATTACTCTGTTTCCATAGATCTGAATAAATATCACGGTAATTAAAAGTTATTATAATCAATTTAAGTTTCAGCAAAAACTACTCTTTCAATATCGTTCTGTCCTTGATCCCCCACCCTCTTTCTCTTTCTCTTTCCCCCCTCTCCCCATCTCTCAATCTTTCACTTTCTTTCTGTCTGTCTGTCAGTCCGTTTCTCACTTTCTCTCTCTCTCTCTCTCTCACACACACACAGACACACATGCACACACACACACACATGTAAATGAGAATCAGGGAGTATGGACGTTAAATTACATTGACATGAGTGCCAGGAAATACACAGGGACGATGGCAACTCTATGATAAAACATGAAGAAGAAGAGCTCCTACCAATCACCCATGAAAATTTGATATGGCAAGTAGATCACTAGAAACACCAACAGACAAATTTTTAATAAAGGCTTTTCACAAAAGTTCATTCATGCTGAGTAGACTTACTTTAAGAGGAGCCCTTGGAATAGGAAGCTCTCTCTCTTCAGTGGTCACATTAGTAGGAGGATTTGAAAAGTTGAATATAGTTGGAACAGCAGTCGTTATAAGCCTCTTTCGGACATTGAGAGCAGTAGACGATCTTGAGGATGTGAAGCATGATGGCTCAAAATGTTCCTCACACAAAACATTTCCCTTGTTTAGTGCTTCACTTGGCTTTTCCTCCAAATCAGCTCGTCCGCAAAGCATCACCCATTGTCTTGCTCTTGATAAAAAGGGATGATGGATGTGATTGATAGGCATTGTGCACTGACAAATTTTGTTTGGGTAAAAGTACAAATACATGTTACAATAACAGGTGCCTCTCCTAAACGGTTCTTAATCTTAAAAATAATTTATTACCAAGGGCCATTTGGGGGAATTCACATGGCTCCCTGCTTTCGTCCTCCCTCTATTATCACAGACTTACACATTAAATATATATCAAAATAAAGAAACAATCTCCAAAACGTATGAAGAGTTTGTTGTAAAATAAAATACTCAAAATTTCAGTTCATCAAAAAGCACACGAAGTAATAATGATAGACCTACCCCAAGAGGAGTTCATCAGACCCCCTCCCCCCCTCCCCAATTACTGCAAACAAAGAAAAAAACATTGAACAAAGAGAGTGGTATCCGGAAAATAAAATACCAAACCACCCGATAGCACATTGTATAAAAATTTAGACAGCTTTTCCCAGCAACATATCTTTCACCAGTAGAACACAAGACAGTCTGAGCATTAAGACCGGCATAATGGCAAATGACAGCCTAAAGATTGATATATATATATATATATATATATATATATATATATATATATATATATATATATATATATATATAATGAAGTTGAAGTATGTTGAGTGTGCACATGGAGTATGGAGTCAGGAGTGTCCGTCTGGTAGGACCAAAATCACAGTCATTGTTTCGCTCCTTTTTAAAAATAAAATAATAAATTTGTCTGAATATATGTTCCTACTAAAGTAAATAACCTTACCTTTCCTCATCTTTTGGGAATCGAAAGAAACTCAAATTTGGATTTTTGTTCCTGGAATTGGTGCAGTTTACAGCAGAACACCATTGACACTTTGTGCTGACTGAAGCCATGCTTGTCAGTGATCAATAAAAATGTCTTGAACAATGAATGCAGCTTGTTTTTGTTTACCGCGCTTATCGCCACGATCAGCCGGTAACCCAGATACGCACATCAGGGGGAAGTGACAACTCTCTGATAATACTGAATAACTCTTTGCTTTGACGTCACCTCTAGAATTGACTGGGGCACGCCTGTGAGTGAAAAGAAAGTAATGAGACAAGTTGCGAGCATTCAGTGTAACTAGAGGGCAGTCTAGACTCCCTACGCAAACAAATTATTGAGATCATGTTACTTCAATTTGAGAAAAAAAAAAATCAAACTGCTCTTCTTTTTCCTTAAAATTACTGATTATGATTAGTTACTGAGGAACCACTAATCAAACAGAAGCACAGTACCAGTATAATATTAACTTTTAAGCTTCATTACAATTTTTTATTATATTATATATATATATATATATATATATATATATATATGTGTGTGTGTACAGTATAATCCGCTTATATCGACATTATTTGGGAAGTGGATTTGATAACAATGTATAAAAATGTTGATAAATGAAAATAAATATAAATGCAAAGATGAAAAAGAAGGGGAGGTCAGCGGTAAAAGACAACACTACTTTTTTTTAAGCTGGTTGCTTCCCTTGATTCTTGAAACTAACAAGAGGTAGAGGGGATGGGTGGTTGGAGTTACGGTACCAATGACTGAGCAACCAGAGATACACACTACACCCCATGGCAAACTTTGTTGTAGGCCTACCATCCTTGTAACGCCTGTTTATATATGGCCATTTGCTGGGGAAAATGGAAAGGCGAGGCACAGACTCGCTGACCATGGCACTTGCCAGCGACAGACTGAGAATGGGGAAGCGGAGTGATCGATCGGGAGTGGGGGTAGGGAGGTGATGCCCAGCAAGCAAGACGCTCACATCTGTGAGGCACTGTACTGTGTTGGAGACTACACTGTAGGCCCTACATGACCTACTAAGGCCTGGTGGGTCAATATAGGCTACTTGGCGGGTATGTGGACTTAATGAAGAATTAATGATATGCGTTGACCGTTAGCAAGGCTTTTTTTCCTCATTAATGTTTGTGAGCTTTACCCGGTACCTAGGAAGCATGTCAATAAAGCAGAGCGGGCCGAAAAAAAGTCGAGAGAAATCATTTAGTGAAGATATTGAAGGAAAAATTTCGTAATTGGAAAATATATCGATGTGTCAAAATGTCAATAAATTAGGTGTTGATATATAAGTGGATTATACTGTACATATGTATACATGCGTATTATTTTTCATTATAATTATATTACAGTGGAACTCGGATTCTCTGATTCAACGAGCTCGGATTCAACTAGAACTCGGATTCAACGAGATGAGATAGATTCCCCCCCCCCCCTTTTTTAAATATTGTTTTTATTTATAATCAATAAAAAAATAACTTGGATTCAACGAGCACATAAATCAACTAATTCGGATTCAACGAGGTCGCTTCTAGATCTAGATCTAGATCTAGATCTAGAAAAATGGGCGCTTTTTCGGTAGTTCCCATCCCGCAATTGTTAATTTGTTATTCACAGGTTTTGGCCCCAAGAGTAGGGGGGGTTTCCTTGCCCCCCTGACCTAATAATAATATGGTGGGGGGTTCCAGGGGGGCATGGATTTTACCACAATTTAATGTTTTGCAGTTGTTAGGTTTGATCTTAGCTTGCCGCGAATCAAACGTATAGATCTAGAATATCTACATATCTAGATGTAGGTCAGGCTAAAATAAGGGGGGGTGGGAACTAAATCTAGTCTAGATATAGATCTAGAGTATAGATCTAGATCTAGATATATTAGATTAGATCTACCGAAAACGCACGTCTGGCCTAGATCTAGATTTGTATGACTATGACAGAGGCAGTGGACCATCCGTGGAAGACCCTCAATAATTTCAACAATCACCAGCTCAGATGTTCACTCCCTGCCTTTACTTCATGTAGAATCTCTAGTATGTGGATTCTAAAATCTAGATCTAGATCTAGAGTCTAGATCTAGAAAATCTAGATCTAGGCTAGATTCTAGATGTAGGCTAGATCTAGATATAGATTTGTAGATCTATATCTAGATCTATATCTAGATCTAGATTAATCTAGACCTTGGCAAGTCTACTGTAGGCTATCTAAATTGTAAACTCAGTGGGTTTGCTCTTGGCATCATGAAAGTAGAAATAGCCTAGGGCTTACCACTTCCTGTTTAGAGTTTGAGAGTTAAAAATTTCCTGTTTCTTCAGCAATGCCGATTAATGTTTTTCGCATTTTTTCTCACGAAATTGAATAACCGGTCACGACCACAGACAATGTCAGACATCCTGCTGCTCCATTAGATTTAGATCTAGACTACGTCAGCGCCATTTTGGACACCGGCTGTACCTACTCGCTTCGATGCAATTTAGGCTTGGCCTAGAATCTATCTAGATTTAGATCTAGACTCTAGTCTAGATCTAGATATATCTAGAGATCTAGCCTTCTGTTTGTGTAGCTCAATTTCTTGTCATCACAAAATAAGTGTAGTATTCTGTGCTCGTCATACATCGGTGTTCAGCGTAGGCTAGGCCTACACTTCTTAATTTCACTTCTAGCCTACTTCTAGTCTAGGCCTACTGACTTCTGATTCGGAATGGACAAGGTTCGTTTTAGACATGGAGAGCCGTCAGGAACTTTTTGTGTGGCTTGGGGCTGCTCAAACAGACAGAAGACAGGGGATGGAAGAAAGTTTCACAGGTATAGAATTCTAGATCTAAATTTGTACTAGAACTAGATCTAGATATTAGATTCTAGATATAGATATAGATATCTAGATCTAGATCTGATTTTTCCAATTAGGTTAGGTTAGGATTGATATTTACATGAAAACAATTGATTTGCAAGGGTTTTAGTGGCCATATAAATCTAGAGGTGTGTTCTGCAGCAAAAATTATGGCAGTTTATACTGGGTGCACACTACGGCTGGATCGGGCCAATCGCCCGACTCGATCGCCTGAAACTGAAAACAAACACGTTTGTTTTTGAGGCGATCGGCCGATCCTATCCGTAGTGGGCACCCGGTATATTAGCCTTCGTCAGTGCATCTGTGCGTGAGTGTAAAAGTAAAAATTTACCGTTGTTTTTCTATTAATTTTGTTTGTTTGGGGAAAAGGGAGGGGGGGGGGGGGGGGATGTTGTATAGATCTTCTAGTGTAACGGATTTTAATTTGATGTTCATTCATCCTTCATTAGATTCTAAATATATATATATATATATATATATATATATATACATACATGTATTATACAGAATTTAAATGTGTTATGTTAGAGGTTCCCTAAAACTACAACAACAAACAAATGTTTTATTGGTTGTTTTTTTTTTCTTTTCTTTTTTTTCATTCAGGTTTCCAAAGGATGCATTGAGGAGAAAGAAATGGAAGGCAGCCCTAAAAAGAGATGCATTTGAAGCCACTGACCATTCCCGGATCTGTAGCGACCACTTTGAAAAAGAGAGCTACAATCAATCTGGCCGATTGAAAGACACTGCTGTTCCAACAATCTTCAACTTTCCTGATAACATGTGTTTGACGGTAAAAATCTCTTTTCTATATTCAGTTTGTATAGTTGGAATAGAGACGAAGTGGGAGAGAGAGGAAGGGTGGTGATAGAAGAAGAGAGATCAGAGAGAAGGGGGGGTGGAGAGGGAGGGAGTGTGTATTAATATATATATCATGTGTGTGTGAGAGAGAAAGAGAAACCAGACATCTCTGATGGAGGTTGCACAAAAATTTTATCTTCTTGGAAGAAGAAGCTTTCCAATATGTCAAGTCTCTGGCCGACGTGGCTGGGAACAAAATGTACACCACCAACAAAAAGACAGCCTTCGTTGGACTCTGACAGCAATCAGGGCAGCGCAAGGAGTCTACGATGGGTACGTTAGGTAAGGGAAACCGCTGAAATATAATATTTCCTCACATACAAGTTGTCACAGGACCACATTTAGCTTGGTTTTTTTGTGCAGTCCGCGCCCACGGTGGGAGTTAACAACCCTGCAGTGCGGCAGTTTGCTGCCTGCATCAAGAGGATGACCTTGAGGCATGGCATTAACTCACTCGCAGCCGGCGCCTCAGCTCAGAAAAAGCCGCTGCCTGACTGCCAGCTTTTTTTTACCTTTTTCAAAATCCAGTTACTCTGTACCTGTTTATGTTAGATTTATGAAAATTGGCCAGTTTCAGTAGGAGATGTTGAGCTTTACAGAACTAGAGGAATTTTGACTCTGTTATTTTGTTCATGTTTATAGCTTTTCAAAAAACGACAAATTTTGTGGACTAAAACTTCTTTTTCAGCCAAACTAGCCAGTACAATATTTTTGTTGTTTTTTTGAGAGTGTTGGAAGTTTCTGTCCTAAAATACACACAAAAATATGTAACAAAACAAAGGAAACTAAATTGATAAGTTTTTGATGACTTGGGCTAAACTATTTCAAACGTTACCGCTTGAATCATTAGTCGTCATACTAGATCTAGTTTTACTACTAGATCCTATTGCTGTCGACTTGTGTTGGGCGGTACAGGCCAAACCCAGTGCCGACACTTTCTTGGTACTGGGTGCCAAGAACTGCCAGTATCGGTACCAGTACTGGGAGCGACACCAGTAGGTGATGTCACAGACTTCGCGTCTTGCGTCTCACACTACGATCAGTGCCGTCCGCATTCCTCCCCCCCACACACACACACATCAGAATTAATTGGAGAGGCGAACTGTGACGCAAAATGCCTTTGAAGTTGCCGCCACGTTTTTTAAATAATTATCGCAGCTAAAAATTGATTTCATTTTCGGAATCAGCGTATCAAAATACACAAAGTGGCTCGTGAAGAACCTAATGTGATGCCATATTTAAATTTAAGCGAACTTCGTTTTTGATTGTCAATTTTGAATCTGAAGTCATATATCAAGGTCACCCGCTCCGTTGTGAGCATCTGACGTCACAGGTGCTAGGCAAAGGCCTAGGCCTACACAAAGCACACTTCCCGTGGCCTGGTTAAAAAACCTGTTGGTGTCGGCCTATATGTTCTTACTCTCTGAGCGTCTAGGTGTCGGCTGGAGTCCAGGTGCCGGTACTGACACTTCCTTCGGAAGAACCGGGAGTTTCGGTACTGGGTACCAGTACCTGCCCATCCTTACTGTCGACAGGTGATCTACCTCTTCCTCTCATCTCTAACTATTATTATTTTGCGCTTCATCATCTGAATCTAAGTTCATTGAATCATAATGGATTCAGAATCTCTAATATTACAAGCCATTTTCAATGCATATATATCGGCATGAGCGTTTTGCCGACGTTCAAAACAAAACCCAGAAATAGGACAAAGGGAACTCCCGCACCAAAAATAGGCGGAAATTCAAGGGAAATCATTCTAATAAACTGAAACTGCCCTGAGTGGCAGCCCCTGCAAGTGGGGGTCCCATAGTTTTACTATGGGGGAGCAAAGAATACACCTGCTGTGATACTGCGTGTCGTAAGTGCTAAAAAAAGTGCGTGTCCTAAAAGTGCAAAGGTCTGGTCGCCTGAAAAGTGCCAGTTTGCGGAGGGCCAAATACCCCACTCAGTACAAAACAGTAAGTTACAGAAACATGGACAAATACAGTTTTTTATTTTCCGATCTTGGGAGACAGAGGAGCTTCTGCATCAGCAGGAACAATGAAGGACAGCGGACAAAGTCGAAAGGGCTCTTCTGACCCGAGACCTTCTCTGTCGAACAAGTCTCTCCGGATTGCGTCATGGAATGTTCGCACCTTGTATGAAACAGGAAAGAGTTCTCAAGAAGTACAAGAGATGAAGAGATACAAGCTGCATATACTAGGAGTCAGCGAAACATACTGGATACAGTCTGGACAGAAGTAGCTCAGCTCGGGGGAACAAATATGATATTCTGGGAGGGAAGACAAGTACCATGCGGAAGGGGTGGGAATCATTTTGAGTAAGTATGCACAGAAGTCACTTAGAGGATGGGAACCACACGGGGAAAGGATCATCATGGCTTCATTCACTACAAGGAGCAAGAGCATCAACATGAATATAGTACATATCTAAGCCCCAACAAATGATGCTTCGGATGAAGACAAGGATGCCTTTTACAGCCAGCTCCAGGGGATCATCGACAAACTACCAAGGAAGGACGTCAACATCATAATGGGAGATGCCAATGCCAAGATTGGTCAGGACAACATGGGGTATGAAAGAATTATGGGACAACATGGCTTGGGACAAATGAATGAGAACAGTGAGCGATTCGCAAATATATGTGCTTTCAACAGTTTTGTCATTGGAGGCTCTGTTTTTCCCCACAAGAGGATTCACAAGGCCACATGGGTTTCGCCAGACGGAGTGACGGAGAACCAGATAGATCATTTTTGTATCTCTCGTAGGTTCAGGCGTTCACTGGAAGATGTCAAAGTACAGAGAGGGGCAGATGTTGGATCGGATCATCATCTGCTGTTGGCAAAACTCAAGCTTCGACTCAAAAAGCATGGAACCAGCACAGGAATCAAAAGAACGAAGTTCCAAGTAAGTCTCTTGGACGGACACAAGAAAGAAGAGTTTCAGCTGCAGCTGAGGAACAGATTTCAACCTCTGGCTGATCTTTGCGGAGAGGACACGGAGGTGGATACACACTGGACCAAGGTCAAAGAAGTCTTTACATCAACATGTCAAGAAGTACTCGGTGGGAAGAAATGGGAGCACAAGGAATGGATTAGCCAACACTCATTGGATTTAATTAGGATAAGAAGACAGCTGAAGGCAGAAGCTAATGCAAGTAGAACAAGAGGATCTTGAGCGGATGCATTGGAGCAGTACAGGACAACAGTTAAAGATGTCAAGAAATCACTAAGAAAAGACAAGGAGGTATTTATGAACAGGCTGGCAGAGAAGGCAGAGGAAGCAGAGGTAGGAGGGCACATGCAAATCCTTTACCAGACCACAAGGACACTTGCTGAAAAATACTGGAAACCTATAGTACCTGTAAAGGACCAAGAGGGGAAAACCATTTTTGGAAAGGAAGCTCAGTCTAAACGATGGGTAGAGCATTTCAACAGTCTCCTGAACAGACCACTACCGAGTAACCCAGCAAACATCCTGCCATCAAGAAATGAGTTACCGATCTGATGTAATGCTCCTTCAAAACAAGAGATTCTGGATGCAAGTAAGAAGCTGAACAAATGAAGCAGCTGGTCCTGACCAGATTCCACCTGAAGCCCTAAAAGCGGATGCCAATGTGACGGCAGACATCCTCCTCCCACTGTTTACCAGGATCTGGAATGAGAGCAAGTTCCCAAAAGATTAGAAAGAAGGACACCTCGTGAAGCTTCCAAAAAAGGGGGATCTCAGCAACTGCAGCAACTACAGACGGATCACTCTTCTTTCAATACCAGGTAAGGTCTTCAACAGAATGATTCAGGAGAGAATCAAGACAGCAACGGATCGAAGACTACGGGATGAACAGGCTGGTTTCCGGAAAAATCGCTCACACACCGACCAGATTGCCACGCTGAGGATTATTGTGGAACAGTCTCTGGGAAGTAAACATTTGTGGACTCATCCAACTGTGTTTATTCATGGGACCTTTCACTTGCCACTAGTTCCCACGAACAGGGGTTTTGGTAATGTGGCAGGCCTGCGCATAACACGTTACGCGTGCTTGTAGCTGGGCTTAGGGCTAGATCGAAGTCTGCAGCTCACCACTGCTTGGACTTGCTCCATCACTACGTTTCTCTCTCTCTCTCTCTCTTTCTCTCTCTCTCTCTCGCTCTCCCTCTCTCTCTCTCTCTTTCTCTCTCTTTCTTACTTTTTACCCATTGTTAACGAGCCTTTGTCCTTGCTATAACCGATTGGGCTCCGATGAGGTCTTGTTATTGCCGATAACTTTTAATAGAGACAAAGAGTAGGAAAAAACGGGGATTTTAAAAATCCCTGTTATTACCAGGCCTGTTATATGGTTTCCACTGTATGTAAGAAGTTGTTTTATGTCAACAAGAATAGATTCCCCATGGTGAAGGATTGCCAGGAACTATCGCACATGTGATCCTGCAGAATGTTGGCAACCAGTGTTTGGCAGTCTCTGGGATCATATTCTAGACAAACAACCAGAAAACAATCACATATTCACATTGATCAAGGCAGTGACACGTGCCTACATCAAAATCTGCATGCATCACCTGGTCAAAGAACACAACTGACAGGTCTCTGGAAAGTATATAAGAAAGAACATGTACAAGTTTGTTCTCTTTAAAAACCAGTAACTGTCGGTGTAACAATAAACACCTGATTGTTTTCTGTTCCTTTATTGTTTGTGCCTGTCTTTCTTGTGTCTTCTCAACACTAAATAACCATATTACACCATAAATGTCAATGTACAGTCTAACAGGTAACTCGAATTTGTCGGGTATTGAAAATAGTGTTTGAAATTTCCTTAATTCGTCATATCTGTGAAAGCCCTGAATCCAAAGAAATAGAGAGCAAATCAAGGGAGGTAAAAAAGAACATTAAAACAATTAACGTGATTAGCTCTCTTAATGAACGTGTTGACGGTGTGAAAGCAAGAAGATGAATGGAAGTGGAAAGCAGAATATCTCACGTGTGCACTGCCGACTCCTACGTCATTCCTTTCCTCTCATTTCAAGGGCTTCCATCCGCATGGCGTGCGTCCCACAGCATGATTGCACGCATAGCGAGCCTCACTCCCCAACCCCCTCCACCTGCCCCTCGTGGTTAGACAAGGACACGTTTTAGCTGCAACAATAACAAAGAAACACCTACCCATGGCCGGAAAGGCTGTAAAGTCAGGTCTTTAGTAGAGAATGCGAAGTGAATTTGTTAGAGATTAGAGTGTTGTGTGTTCCGAATGTTCGGGAACTCCGTGATGTCAATACTAAGAAAACATAGGGACTGAAACGGGACCAAGCATTATGTTCGAGATACCTGGCAATTGGTGATTTTAGTGTTTGAGATTGGTGGACTCTACTGTATTTCTTTATTAAAAGCCAATGAACAACTGAACAAAGCGTCTCGTCTTCTATTCCCAGATGGTTGTCAATCAAGGCTCTCAGGTCTCACCTTTGAACAAAGGTAGGGGATGTCAAAGTAGCCACAAGACCATGCGAAAGATAGACATCTCCCAAATTTTTTCAGAGGCTGTGGTCAGTGTGGATGAAGTCCGTAGGGCAGCTGAGACTTCTGTCTGTACTGGTAAGGGCAGAGCAGGGCAAAAACAACTGCTCGAGGAGTTTTTCTGTTGTGTTTAAGTGTGTTTTTTAAAAAAGTTTTATGCTGTTCTTTGTCTCTATCTTTTGCTCTTACACCTTTTTTTTGTTCTTTCTTTATTTCACTCTTTCTTCCATCCCTATCTTTCTACCGATTTCTGTCTCTGTCTTATCTTCTACCCTCCCCCTTTCATTCATGCTATTATCCTCCTCTTTTATTATAGTGAAAAAGATAAAAACAGTCACATCTCGTCGCACAGCCCCGCCCCCCCTCCCCCCTTGTACAGCCAGATTTTTCTAATGTACTAATACTAATAGAATCCCCTGTACATAAACATAGTACATTTTATTGGCGAATTTACACAGCCATCCACGAACCGTCTCAGTTGTACGGTCTTTATTTTATTTAAAACTGTTGTAAATTTACTCTGTTGTATCACCAGCGAACAGGTGGTTGGCGGGTGCTCTGGTGTGGTTTGCTTCTTCTTTCCTATAAATAAAACATCTATCGTCTTTATCTTCCCTCCTTTTTTTTTTTTTTGTTTGTTTGTTACTCTCTTGTAACACCTCTAATCTTCGGCTCTTATATGACCTTATTGTGTTGCAAGTGAGCGATCGTATAGGCGTTGCTTCGATAACTTGAATCCATTCTGTTCTCAGGAAACCTTTTTTGATCCTTCTGAGGGTACACATGGAATCAGTTATAAGAACAGCATGGGTTGTGTGGGGGCGATCTTGGGTCATTCAATCAAGTGCTTTTGTGATGGCTTCAATTTCTATTCGCGTACTTGATGTAGCCCAGCTGCAGGCTCCAGATGCACTGTGTATGATTTTATTGTTGGCGAATGCAACAAATCCCCATCCACTTCTCTGGCTATCTCTTTTCACTGAACCATCTGTATAAATTATAGGATCCCCTGCTTTTGTGTTTGTGTCAACAATCTCGTTGATGGAAGCCGCAACACACGTTGAGAGAGAAAGAAACGAAGTGAAGCAGGAGCGAAAATAAACTTTCTTTCTAAATGTAAAGAGGTTCGGTTGTTGGGGGTTTTTTTAGGGGGGGAGAGATATTGCCCCCTTTTTTTTTCGATTTTTGATTTCTGGCGGGTTCTTTTATTTGGTTTTTATTTTGAAAGTGCAAAATTCGCAGCCGTGATTCTCGGACCGGAAAAGGACAAAAATCGCGGTCGCAGATACTAGATATCACACGTGGGCGTCTTAGGCAGGACTGATCAAAATTTAAAGAAAAAAACCCATTCCCTTCTGAGGTCCCAACCGAAGAAAGTCGCATTGTTGTTGTTGTTATTGTTTTTGTTGTTTTCCTTGGTTTGTTTTTTGTTTGCTTTTTTTATTTTGTCGCTGATTTTGTGGCCATTTTACACAGTAAAATTATATAGAAAACATACAGATTAGACTATTTTGTATACTTATCTTTTCTATGAGTGTGGAGCGCTGCACTATATACAGTATAACACAGATAGCTTGAATTCGTCAGGACCGGCCTCAGTAGTTCGAGAGATCCGTAATTCTAGGTAAACGTGAAGAGTGTTATGGCTTCGGCTGTGTCAGAGAATCGAGTGAGGCAACAAAGATTGGGATGGAAAAGCGATTTTTCTTTTTTCAACCATTGTCCTAGATCAGATAGATTAGGTGTATGCCTATTGACTTGAATTTGAAACAGATTGAGAATGAGAAACATGATGAGCATCACTTTTGGGTTCAATCGGTAATTACTCTACCAGTACCAAGACAGTTTAATTTCGTGGGTCAGTGTAAGCAGTCTTTCGTCTGCACTGGCCGTACGGTGCTTTTTCAAATTTTGTCAAAACACAAAAATTTGACAAGATAAGTTTTCGCAACAGTGATCAAAAAGGCGATTACGAAACAAGTGCGCAGTCCTTTGCAAAGAGGAGTGAGGCTGCCGATCATGTGATGCACAATGCCCTTTCTCTCTCCCGTCCCACCCAAGTCTAGCTAGACCTAGGACCAAGGCAAGTGCAGAAAGCACCTGTGTGGAGCAGCGTGCTAAAAATAGCACAGCTAGCCGCTTTTTTTTTAGGAGGGGGGAGGTGGTGGTATTTTACTGACCTTTTCTTTTTCTGTTTTTATTATTATTAATATTATTATTTTGTCTAAAGTGCAACTCAAAGGACACTGACTTAGATCTTTACGGTGGCGTAATTAGTTTGACTATTCCATGTTTGTGTTTGGGCTTCACGTAATTTTCTTACAAAGATAAAGAATTTTTTTTAAAACGGGACCTCAGGCACAGTTAGATGGGTACATGATTTCGAGAAATCTGTGCTCGACCTATCCAGGTTATACTGTATTTTGTTTTTGTAAAATTGCTTACTTTGACAAAAATATAAAAGTATATGATGCTGACATTAGCAGAGTTTGATGCTGGTAGTATAATGCTATTTGATGGGTTCTGTGATAAGTTATAAGGGTTGTAAGGTCATTTGATAGGATGCATTCTTTTCTCACTGTCTCTCATTCTCATACATTCTTATATGTATCTTTTTGTTATCCTCAGTTGGCGTACAGACTGATCCTGTTTACATTTTGCCAATGGAAGGTGAGTAAAATATCATTTTGAGACGGTTTGTGAGTAGGTGCTCTGGTGTGGTCTTATTTGTTTTCAGTGTTACCACTGCTTGAGTTCAGATTCAGAAGACTTGTGGAAAGTTGAGGTTGTGGTATGTTGTCAGGTGCTCTGGTGTGGTTTGTCCTTCTTTCCTATCAAACATCTGTCGTCCTTATCTCTCCTCCTTCTTTTATTTGTATGTTACCCTCTCCTAACACCTCTAATCTTGGGCACTTATATGACCTGTTTGTGTTGCAAGTGCCTTAAAACTTTTACAAGACACACAAAAGGTTGACTCTGAAGTTATTTACTGTGTGTTTCTAAGATTTCCCTTTTTTTGTGTGGGCAAAAAGTCTACTTTTTCTAGTTTACTTGGTTTGTGTGCGTGTGTATGTGTAGCTGTTTAGTATCAGGGCAGATGCTACCCTCAGTGAAACTGCAAAATGGTAAATATCATGTTTTAGAATAATGATTATGTAATCTAGGCACTTCAGTGAACGCACTCACTATAGCGTGATTTGGCTTCGGAAAGTCCCATTGAGTTTTGTTTCCGGACTTGACGTCTCGTTGAGACAGTGGGTTCAAACTGCCCATACTTTTGTTTAATTTAGGGGACCGTCATTCAAGTCCAATGCATGTCTTCAAAGACCTTTGGATGACCTTCGTAACGTTTTTTTCCAGGTCGATGTGCGACTAATGAGTCTCGAGATATTTCAAGTTGAAAAATAGACAATTTTTAACCATTGACTTTTGATAAATTTTCTCGGCATATTTTTTTCTAACTACCCTTGTTGGTAAACCATTCTTTGTTCTTCCAGAAAACTTTTAAATGGTTATCGTAGAAGTCTTACCTTGGCTAGTGTAGTCTTACCCTTTTATCAACCAAATCCGCGAAAACCTAGCTGGACCCTTCCACTGTGACATCGGGCAGAGTCCTAATGTCAAGCATTTTCGCCTGGAGTTTTTGCTCCCTCTCTTCATTGTTTGAAAGGTACGAGACAGGGAAATACATCGCCGAGAGATTTTTAAACTTCAGTTTAAAAAGTTTATCTGTTTTTATAATGTTTTATAATCACTGACCTTACATTGTGCCTTAGCTCATTCGATAGTATAAAGAAAACGAGACTTTTTAGACCAAAGTATTTCCTTTTCACTGAGCTCCCCCCCCCCACTCCCTTTTTACCCTGCCCAAAGTCTTTCTTTGCATATATTGCTAGGGCCTAGATCTAGTATGAAGAGTCCGGACTCGTGTTGTTAACACAGTCAAAATTAAATTGAGACGCCTATTA